TGTCAACGGTTTTTCATCTGAATGGAAACCGGTACCAGCTGGAATTCCGCAGGGTAGTGTTTTAGGACCTACTCTTTTTCTATTAATGGTAAACGCTCTGGCTTACAGAGAATCGTGGAGATGGAAGTATATGGACGACCTGACTATTAGTGAGACCCTTCATATTGTGAATAACTTGTGCTCTAGTAATCTCCAACAAAGCTCGAATGATATTTGTGAATTTGTACACGAAAAGAAAATGATGCTGAGAATGTTTGTCTGTTTCAAAAGAGTACCTCCAGTGATTGATAATATTACCATCAACAACGTCCCAATTGAAAGGGTATCTACCTATAAATTACTTGGGGTTAATCTGTCATCAAATCTTAAGTGGAATGAGCATGTCAATATGATAACAAAGAAAGCTGCGAAGCGTATTTACTCTGTGAGACTTCTGAAAAGGGCGGGCGTTGCAGATACGGACTTGGTCACTTTCTACTCAACGAGCGTAAGAACAGTATTGGAGTATGCTTGTCCTGCATGGTTTTACAGTACTATTGAATACCTTAGAGAACAAATTGAATCCATCCAACGCAGGATCATGCGAGTAATTTTCCCTGATACTAGTTACCAAGAAGCCTTAGATCTTGCTGGCATCCCTCGGCTATGTGTGAGATTGGAAGACCTATGTGACATGTTTTTCTCCAACATCATGAAGGAAAACCATAAACTACATGGCCTTTTACCACCTACTTACCAAACTCATTATAATACCAGGTCCCAGGCCTCTGGAATACAATTCCAGTTGCCAACATATAAAACTAATAGATCTCGAAACAATTTTATTGTCAAATCTGCTGTGAAATGGAACAATACGATTAGGAAGAACATAGGGAATGTATAGCCCTACATATTTTTAAAATGATGACTTTTTAGAATTTAGTGTAAATAATTCAGTATATACTATACAGTATTCTTAGTTTTGATGTTTGTAGTTGTTTCCCCTTTTACCTTTCTAACGCAACATTGTAATGGGTAAATTTAATTTAGTCTTTGACTACGATTTGCTCAAATTAAAGCTATTATTATTATTATTATTAAATATCGGGCAGTTGCTACCCCCCACAAGCTTGCAAACGTAGTTAGCTATTAATGCAATAGTGAAACTCTGTGGGGAGATATCGTGTTCTATTTAGGTCTGCATAAAGTACGAGCCATGTGCGGCACCAAAAACGTACGAGTCACACATGAATACTGCATGTACAGAGCAATGTTTCGCAGAAACGTTTGAAAGGACGATTAAAATACGGTGACCACACCATTGACTTTGCCTCATATAAACTTTAATATCTTAGAATCCAAGCATACATTCCCTAATAGACAAAACTGATAACAATTCTGGACCACACACTATACTTTTAAGAAAGGAACTCAAGAAACATTAATTGTATATTCATGATTTCCTTAGTTGTATTATATAAAGCATAGTTATAATTTCAGATTTAATGCCACTGGCTTAAGTGTAGATCTTTCAACAATCCTTTGTGTATACCCATCGAATGCTGCAGACTGATATAGGGGAAAGCTTGTGACACAAAATACTACCAGAGAATAAATAATTGATTAATATTTAATCAAAAGAACTAGTTAAAAGACGACCTTGCTAATTAAATGCCATTTTCCAGCCACTCACAAAAAGAGTAGTTCTGTTATGCATGCTTTTATGATATTTCGGCTTTATATGTCAAATCACTCCTACCAATAATTTCGCTGAAATCCTAGCCAGCGGAGCTTTGGCCGTATTTGGGGGCAGAGCTTACGGGGTAAAGCTAGAAATACGACCAGCCAACATACTGTACTATTTTGTAATGTGTTCACAGTTGTCTATTTAAGCGAACCAATCACAATGCGAGGTAAAACTAGCGAGTAATTAAGAATAGGCGTTTTATGGGCGCGTTGGCAATATTAATATTGCACTACCTGTCAATCAAAGTGGCTCTCCACCAATGGGAATTTTGCGTTGTTTAGACAACGCAAAAATACTAAATAGTGCAGTATGTTGGCTGCCCGTATTTATAGCTTGACCCCGTAAGATCTGCGCCCAAATACGGCCAAAGCTTCGCTGGGTATATAGTTTGTAATAAACTTGGATTTAAACATCACGCTACAATTCTGTTCATATTCTCCTTTCCAAGAAACCGGAGACAAAGCGAGAAAAACTGAAAAACCAAAACAGTACATTATGGTGATATAATGAACGCGCATTAGCCAATTACGTGTCAAATCCCACTCATGTTATGAAGGTATTATATAATAACCCTGAAAAGCATTATCTTATTCCATTTTTAGCTTTGCTATATTGATACCGAGAGGAGGAATGAGGGTGTTCCCGAAAGGCAACAAGCGCCTCCATGCGACTCATCGATAAAAAACTGTAGAAATATATTACGATTTTTACTGTGAAAAGAATTTTTGAATAAATTTGTAAAAATATTGCATTTTGCTTATGTTAAATTCCCATTGTATTTACGCATGTTTCGAGTAATTGAACATGCATGACCTTAAAAGTGGCAATGAAATATCCGTGAGTAAATTATACTTTTTTACAAGGAAACTACATAAAATCGCATCCGTGAATACAGGAATGTTTACTCTTTATAGTCGTACTTTAAAACATAAGATGGCGGCTTTAAGAGGGGGGGGGGAGAACAGCTTCTGTTTTTAGCGGACGAAGAAGGAGACGTAGAAGATGGATGAAATGGTTGGGTTTTTCCTATATTTAACAGAAGGCTTGAACCCAATGCCTCACCGTAATTATTCGCAGTTTAAACTAGAAAACTACAGCAATGAAGAGTGTGTGTACTTAATTAACGTTTCACGAAGGCGACGTTATTCACTTGGCAAATGCGCTGCGGTTACCTGATCGTTTTGTGTGCAAGAATGGCACTGTTGCTAGCAAATTGGAAGGATTATGCATGCTTTTACGTCGACTAGCCTATCCCAATCGTTTGACTGATATAGTTCAAATGTCTGGTCGGTCCAAATCCAAGTTGAGTATGGTAATCAACAGTGCTCTTGATTTTGTATTTAACCAGCATCATTCGCTGTTAAACAACCTAAATGTCCCTTGGCTGGCTCCAGAAAGGTTGAAATAAATGGCAAGGGCTGTTCACGAGAAAGGGGCAGCCCTTGATAATGTATGGGGATTTGTTGATGGCACGGTAAAGTAGTTAAGGTTATGTTGTGTGATATGGCATTATAGAGAAGTAATCATAATAAATTCAGGGGAAATGTCATAAATACTGTGCAGTTTTGCTTTATAAATGTAGGTACGGCCAATTAGTCGACCAAAGTTGCACCAGAATGTTATGTACAACGATCATAAAAGGGTACATGCCATTAAATGACAGGCTGTAAATGCTGCAATAGGACGAATTGTTCATCTTTATGGGCCTGTAGGTATAAGTAATGAAATCAAATACACATGACTTTGATTTACAACATAAAATGAAAATTATACACAATTATACACGATATGGGCAAAAAGCAGTAATAATAGAATATTAAAATATTCTTACAATTTGTATGTATTTTTCCAGAAGGCAAACGTCATGATGCTGCGATGGTAATGATGTCAGGCTTGTGCCCCCAACTGGAGGTGTATTCCCATGATGGTAATGGTAACCCTCTAGCCATATATGGTGATCCGGCGTATCCTCATAGGGTTCATCTGCAGAGCCCATACAAAGGGGTAAACCTAACTGATGCCCAGAAACAATTTAATCAATCCATGAGTGCTGTTAGAGTTTGTGTGGAGTGGCCATTTGGAGAAGTCGTGAAGTACTTTGCTTTTAATGATTTTAAGAAAAATCTTAAAATTGGTCTACAATCAGTTGCAAAGATTTACGCAGTTTCATGCTTGATTTATAATGCTAAAGTGTGCCTTCAGGGTTCTAATACAGCAATTTATTATGGACTGAATCCCCCAACTATAGATGAATACTTTAGTCAATCCATATAAATTATGTTGTTACAAGGGGTCATACACAAAGTCATAGGCTTGGGAACTGGAATGCCACTATGCTAACCCTAGCCGCCCCCACCCCCACCCAGAAAGGAAACAAATGTTAAAGCAATATATGAATGTTAAGCAATGTATGGTGGTTTGGTACCCTTTTCTTTACCCCTTATTCTGTCCTGAGCAAAGTTACAGTAATTCCAAAGGACTTTTGTACATAGAAAAAAATTTAAATTAATGTAATTGAAAGTATATACAACTTATTAACATATACAAAGAACATATTTCAAATACATTGAAAAGTTATGTTCATATGTCCAAATAAAAAATAAATAATGAATATTGTACATAATAAATAATTTAAATTGACTGATTATGTATTATTCTACACTTTATATAATTAATACAATTAATTGATTGAATAACATTTTTTAAACCCAACAGACTTTCAAGTGGAACAGCTATACCGTCTTATATATTAAGATTGTTTGAACTTATTCATAAATGTTTCAAATAAATTGAACATTGCCTTTTGCGATTCCGGCTGCATTTTCATTTGCTCGACCATTTTATTCTGCATGTTTTGCTGTACATCCAATCTTTGTTTTTCCAAAATAATTTCTTGCTCACGAATTTTCAGTTGTTTCTCGGTATTTTCCTTGTTGGTATCTTGTTTATATTTAAGGTATTCAAGAAACTCTGTGCTTTTCCTCTTTCTGCCAGGACCAGAAGTATCTTCTTGCTCTTCCCTTTTCTTTGTTTCGCCAAGTTTTTCGCATGCTTTTTTCCGCATTTCCTCGGCTGTCGCCTTTTCCTTTTCTACTTTATCTTTTTTTAATTGACTTTCTTGCAGGAAACCATTTTCATATTCAACCATACGGCTGTGTATATCCGTCAAACTCAGTATCAATGCCGGTTGCTCTTGCTTCTTGTGTTTCTTGTTTTTTTGAACGCTTCGACAAGTTCAAAAAACCTGGTTCGCACTGAACGTTGGTTAAGGCTTGCAGGGAAACCGGAGTTTGGTATCGCTGTCAAATTTACTGCTATATTCCTGAAAGCATCTTCTCGCTCCCGAGAGCCATGTTTCCATCTATAAGGCTCGATGGAAATTACTTGGGTCAAAAGCCACACATCATGTGTAGTTTTCCACCGAAATTTTGTTCGTTTTTTGGCTGGTGTATACGAAGAAATAATAGTTGAATGTAAGCCACATTGAACCATTCGGTAATTAAATAAACTTTTCGAAATACATATGTACTTACAGACTATTTTGATCCTTTTCTTCTTCAAGCTCCAAATAAGCCAAGTCTATATTATTCATATCACTCATATTTGTTTCGACCAACTTTAAAAAAAATCCTAAATACTATTAAATAGAAATAAATACAACAAATAAACAAAACAGAAAGCAGAAAGATATTATAGAAACACAACATTCTTTTGTATATTTATTAAAAAACAACTTGCCTTTTGAACGGTTCTCCCGACGATCATAAATCGCTTTGTTACGGTCCCAAAACAAAAATATGCGACGATTTCCTCACGCTCTTGCAGTTACTGCGCATGCGTAACACATTTAAGGTAGCGGTAGTGGAAGTCAAATCTGAACCTGTCTAATGTTGTCGCGTGCGCCGTATGATTGCGTGATAATTAAACGGTTCCAACTGAGGTTTTAAAAGTCTATCGTTGCCGTAAAAATAAACTATTTCCACAAATATCCAAACAGTCCCACTAGCAATTAACAGAGATTTTTATGTGTTCCAGGTAGATTTGGCATAAAACGCGGAGCGGTCAAGCTCGCGCCTCACGCGATAGCGCGCCACGTCACTTCTTCTCTGCCGGTGTAAAATCTGTAAATCTATTTGGGTAAGATGACACAAGAAGAATTTTTACAGGGAGAGCTGAATCGGATTTCGGAGAGTTAAGTTAGAGTCACGCTAACATTTTCCAGCGATACACACCCAATTTCGTAACTCTCCCGCTATGTCCTTTCAACTAACATGGCAGATTTAAATCAAAAACTCTCTTCCGTCAAAACATATAACTATGAGAGAGTAAAGAAAGGCGATAGTTAAGTCGGATTTCTATATGAATGGTTAATAGCGTCACTGTAAATCGCAAGACTTTTTCTACCTTGAGCAATACCTTTGTTAGACCAAACCGGCACAAGTACTACCGGAGTTTTGCGAATTACTGGAGTTTTTCGAACGATAAAACAGCATGTCATTTGCTTATTATAGCCGTAAAAGCAATAAAACACACTGAAAAGACTCCCAGCAACTAAACATGTACAGAAATCAGAATATACATTTTTTGACAAAACTGATTTCAAAGCAGATTTCAAAAGAATGATAGAAGTAAAGTCAACAAGCACTTGTTTCTTTAAAAAATATTAAATATTTAATATATAAAAAATTCAAGTTTTAGCAATGTACTGATTTAAAAAACCCTCGCCATGCACCACAATTGCGGACACCCCGCTATTACGGACAGTTGGCCTAATCCCCGGTCGAAACTACTATGAAATGCATTGAAATAGCTCTCGCTATTGCGGACTATCACTATTACGGACACTTCAAGTGGTCCAACATTGCTCCAGCATTACTTTTCTAGCATTGACAATTTCTCAACCATGATCATAGCCTGCTTTCTCATATCCTCTCACATTCTCGACATTCTATTTATAAAAGTCAGAGCAGGCACGTCGGTTGCACTAAAGTGGTGGGCGTTGGAACACCCGCAGTTGTCAGGCAGTCGGCAATTATCTAATCCCAGTTGGATAGGAAGGGAAAAAATAAAAATATTTGAGTGACACTGATCAAAAACTAATAATTGTAGCTAAAATTTAGAGAAATGTACAAAAAATATTTACGGAAAATTAAACAAACAATGCTACGTTAACCAATTTTGGGGTAAGAAATATATTAGCGTTTAAAATGAGTCGGCAAAATTTCACTAACATCCCCCCCCCCCTCCCACTCGGGGTTGCCGTTGAGCACAGGCATAAACAGTGCGGGCTCTGCCGTGCGGGAAAAAGGCCCTCATTGAGAATTGGCCCCAGTAGTTGCAATTTCTTAAAAAATGCCTTGAATTTCCCTGAGTGGAAATGGGGCTTTACGAGTATATGATAAATCGATCATGCATAAATTAAATTAACAATGCATGAAATCAGTAAGGCGTATAATTTAATAAAAGGGCGAAAAAGACGACGTTTCATTGAGAGGTCCTGTGATGGACTTAGTACACGTCTGAAACGTTGTCTGAAATAATCTTAGATCATAAAACGCTTTCGAAGCTTCCGATCACTGCATTCAAATTGTTTCTTAAACTTCAATTTTTGTGCGCAAACCAGTTTCAATGTGGTGTAAAATTTCTGATTAATCTCATAATTTCAATATTTCTAATTTTAAGGCCACTTTGAATGAAACTCTTCTGCAGAAAAAATACATTTTGCAAAATGCAAAGATAGTTTGGAACTCGCCAAAAATTACACATAAAAAGTAAAATAAACAATATACCAATACTATAATACTATAATACTATATGTACCTGGTGTAGTCGGTGTTGTTGAACCAACTGTAGTGGACGATGTTGGATTATCTGTAGTGGACGGTGTTGTACTAACTGAAACAAATAATACAAGAGATAGGTGGTAAAGTCACTTGACGCTCAACTCTGTGTAGTTACTATAGTGTGTTTAAAAAAGAAAAGTCTTTTAAGCTCATGAATGTTATAAAACATTTATTATTATAAGCTTTCCGCACCATATATACAATTAAAATAAGACTTTTAGTCTTATTTTAATTGTATATATATGTGTAGGAACCTAAGTATATTGTATATGGTGAAGGAAGCCATTTTCGTTGTTCAACAACATGGATGGATGAAGGCACCCGATTGCATAACTCAAAATGACTAATTCCTATAAATCAGTCTCTACATTGAACAAAGTCAACAGACGACCGTTTTGCTTGGATTATTTTGAGTTATGCAATTTTTAAGCGCGTTGGACGTAAACAACATATCGTGTCTACAACTTTGGGAAGACTGCATGCTTAATGAAAGTGAACAATAATGGGACGCCGCAAACGGCCTATGTAGAGAAGGTTTTTCGACAAATTCCTTTGCTGTCATGAAGCAACTGAAAGAGATTGTATATACAGCATCAGGTATTGCCTCCCTAGAGGTCCGTCGATGTCTGAGAAAGAAATATACGTTGATTAAGTTTCTCCAACACTTAAAACATGATCAGCAAACATAAAACATGACCAGTTTTGTACTTCGACATACTCTTTTACGAAATTTGCAAGAAATACTGAAACACAGAAAGATAGATATTAAAGAAATTAAAGCTTTGCAAAATAAAAAAACAACTTTTTTCTCCAACGGGCTTGTACTAGCGCATGCGTATAACGTCGAAAACCGTCCATCATATAATGGAGGACGACTTTGTACTTCGCTATGTCCTTAAGTACCGGAGTGTAAATTGCAGAGCGGAATTACTACACTCGTCCCAGGTTCCCCCTAAAAAACGCTTCGCGCCCCTGGCTCGTCGAAAATCTGCCCTTGACCTATAGAAGCAGGTTTAACCAAGCCGTAAGGTGCTCGCCAACTGACACTGTTGGTTATAGTTACTTGTATGTGTAGTTATTATAACATTATGTGTGTATGTACGTATGCGTGTATGTATGTATGTATGTATGTATGTATGTATGTAAAGCTTTATATCATGACGCTAGCCTTGTCAAGAGCAATAGTTCATTTCCACAAGGGTTGTCACTAGCACAAGTAAAAGTTAGTTACAAAGATATATAGCTTTTTACCAGTGATTTTAAAAAATATTCAAATAAATTGGTGTGATTCGGTCGTATATTAAGAACTGTCCATAGTTGTTTCTATCTAACCATGAAATTAATTTACAAAGTTTTTGAAAGAGTAAATTGATTGCGCTTCCTTAGCTGTGGGCGGAAGACTATTCCAAAGTTTACCGCCACTGTACTTAAAGCTTTTTCAAGAAACTTGCGTCTCGGTTTACGAAGGACCAGATCAGTGTGAGAATTTCTGAGTCACAATTAGTTTCTAAAGAATTCCTCCTCATCAATAACTCTTTCAAATTTGGTGCATCAAAGTCGTTGAGAATTTTATATAATAATGTAACCTTGCTCATACCTCGTCGTCAGGAATCTAAGTTTTCCCATTTAATTTTCCCATTTCCGGTTTAATATTTTCATTCATTTATTTTATTGTTCTTTACTGACCTACGCAATACGTTCCATTGAAATATCTAGCGAGACTGGTTCGGGTGATATAGTTGTGGATAGACTAATATATTGATCTTGTATGTACTACTTAAAACATCAGCAGCAGTGTTTTATCAGATTAAACATACAAGGCGAAGCCGGGTATCTTTAGGTCTGACAAAACACGCACTGCGAATATTTTAAATTGCGTCAAAAACGATCGATCTAGCAAGTCCATTGGCGAAGTAATTTTCAAAGTTGTGTAAGTCGAGAAAATCAAAATTAAAGTTTATGTAAATCAAGGGAAATCTCTATCACATATAAAGATACGACACTAAGCTAGACCAACGTCATTTATACTGGATAACTCCATTAGTGTTTACCAAAGGTACAGTAAGGATCATCAATGTTTCAATGTTACAACTGGAGGAAATTTAAACTAACTTAAATTTGCAGTTAATAGCGATGTTGATACTGGATATCATGAGTACTAAACCGCTGTTCTCGCCGGAGGTGGTTTAGGTGGTTTAGTAGAAAAACTAAACTAATCTAATTGATAGTTATACTGGATAGCTCTTACTATAAGTTCTAAACTGTTCTCCTGGGAGGTCGAGTATGTTTGGCTGGGTGAAGATATCTCAAAGAATTCTCATATACGTCCAGAGATACAGAAAAGTAGACATAAAAGACACTTGTCAATGTGGTGTTTGCGCCACTTTAAGTAGATAATAGCACTTTAATTTCTCAAACATTTAATTTCGTGAACATTCGATTTCGTGAAAGCAAAGCCAAACTGAATTCTTCAGTCGCAATGATTTTTGTACATAATTATGTAGGTGTTAATTGTTGGTTCTTTGTTTGATTGTATGCCAGAAATGTACGTTTTTTATATATCCGTATAGAGACATGATCACGTTTATTTGGAATTACTACACAATCTTGGCCAAAAACACAAGTAGAACGACTGAACGTTGTAATGTTCCCCTAAATTCATTTTATAAGTATGACAATCCCAACACAGTAGTGTTGTGCCAAATATCCAGCTGTTAGAGTTGCATAAAACAACATTGAATTGGGGGGAGGAGATGAGATATAAGTGAAAACGTCCTTCGTTCTACAGCTTTCAGCGAAGATTGTAGTTTTCGATCGATAAGCCGGCATAGATCTTGACAAGTGTAATTATTATAGCACCAATAAAGAATGGACTCGGATCGAAAGCCTTGCCAAAACTGAGAAAATGATGATGTTTGAAAGTTTGATCATCTGATTATCAATTTCCCATTTGTAATCTAAACGACTGAAAAAACGGCAAACTTCGCAAGGCTATATTATCCGCATTTTACAACATTTCGCAACGAAACTTCGGAATATTACTAATTTTGTGATGCTCTTTCAAGCTGTGATGAAATTTTTGTCCAGATTTGTCTTGATCAAAATCTCACTTAAAAGGGGAAAGGTCTATTGTATATTCATATTTCGTTAGGCTTAGTTGTATCATATAAAGCATATTAATTATAATTTCAGATTTAATGCCACCTGCTGAAGTGTAGCGTCCTTCAATCTTTGTGTATAATCATCGAAGACTGCCGACTGATATGGGGGAAAGCTCGAAACACATAAATACTTACTATCAGAGAATGTTTCTTAAATAATTGATTATTTAAGTTAAGAATTAACGGGAGAGTTAAGAAATTGGGTAGGGTCGTTAGAAAAGATGGCACGACTCAAACTTAACATTCCAAAATTCTCTTCCCGTGCTAACTCTCCATTTAGCCGTTTCCATGTTATTTATATTGCGAAGGATTTAAACTGATGCTTTGACTGATACAACAGTTGGTCTTCTTTGGCTGATATGACAGTTTATTGGCATTAAAAAATTAGGCTTTATATCTCTACCTATGTATGTTATATTTCTACATTGCAACTCACCCTTTTTCGTGACTTGTAAACTTGAAATATTAAACGGCGCAGATCCATTATCTCTTGCTTGAGCGATTGGTGATTGAACTTCCTCAACAGTCGGAATTGGTTCGGTGGAATTAAATAATACTTCAATATCTGCAACAACACTTCCCGGGGTACCGGTAAAGCAATTGAACTTAAAGCCAAAAAAGCCAAGTAAGAATCGAAGTACCAGAATCAAGAAATTGAGGAATCTACTTCTCATATTTCTGAAAGCCAGACTTAGCTTGTTCTGCAGATCGGGCATGAATGGTTCAGCAATTGTTATATCAACTGCAAATGTGACAGTTTCGTTAATTGGGATTGTCGCCTGACTTTCCAATGACGTAAATATTGTAATCTCTGTGTCAGATTCTGGTGGAGTTTCTGTTAAAAGTAAAAAAAGGTTGCATCATTGCTAATTAAGACAACCATTTATAATTCTATCCAAAATTTGTCAAACATGTTATAGAGGTATATTTGCTAAGTATATACCAATACCCCTGGTCAAACTATTACATGCATGAAACTTTAAGACACAGGTACGCACGGATAAACACGAGTTTCACTTGGTGAATTCTCGAGTATTTTCCCAACATTCCCGGATTGCAATATCGCACTATAAGCGCACGAGACGAGTTTTTCTATTTCTCATTTTCTTTTATAATATAAGAAGATATTACCCACTAAGTAATTTTATTTGGAAAATCTATTTTGAAATTCTACTAACATGTAATAAATGACGTCGCGTGTCATCGCTTAGCAACAAGCTTCAATTTTCAGGCCGGCGATGCATTAACCTTAATAAACTGGATGGACAATGTTCGAAAATGACAAAAATAACCCACCCTGATAAGGAGACAAATTTGCTGTTGTTTTGTTGCGTTTTACAAGCCGGATTTGGAATCTGAGGTTTTCGTTGAGTTGTTTTGTTTCCATTTGCTGGAATTATCATTATATTTTTCGCGTTTCACTAAATATATGTCATTTAAGGTGGCTCCCTACAGTTGTAAAGAAACAGCAGCAAAAAATAAGGTCTTCACAATCATCCAAGATATTCGCTATTTATGTGAAATGGGGATTTTTTGAATTAGAAACGCTTGCGTAATCTTTATACTTCAAGCATAATCGTTCGAAAGAAGCAAATTGTGTGTTGCTATGGTAACAATGTGGCCTAAGCGACAGCGGATAAAGATCAAATTTTGGACCAATAATGAATTTATTTAAATTTCCTTCAGTCAAAGTTTCTGGAATTTTGTAGGTGTAAAGAGAATATCTAGTCGAAGATTATATAAAAAAATTAGGGCGGGTTATAAATTCAGTTTTTGAGATATTACGCGAAATTTATTCCACAAAAACTGTTTTATAGAATCCTTTGCAAATTGAGTATATTGTAATAAATTACTAGTACTTTTACAATACAAAATTTCAGAAATATTGACCG